GGAAAGCACCGAGACGCTTTAATATGCTGTTGAAAAACTCTATAAATGTCCTACTTGTTGCACATCATAAATTGTCAATACCGCTAGTGTGTACTTGGAGGGATATAGAGCATCTATCCCATGCTTCACATGCTAGTACTCTTGGTTGTCTAAGTAATGCGTAGGTAGTACTTTGATTGATCTTTCATGTGTCATATGAAGAATATATACGGTTAATCCTAGTATACATTGTGATGATGTAAAGTGGTTCTCCTGTGTTTGTGGACAACATACATTGGGGTGTGTTTGGAAAATGCAATTACACTCAATAGACATTTGTGATGGTTGAGCGCCCATGGGATGTTGGGAGAGTTGGCATATATGATGAGCACTATTACTTAGCTGCAAACGTTGAGCTAATGTAGAGATTGTTGAGAATATGTCTTGAGTTTGAGCCCATAAAGGAAACTCGATCCAAGTAAGTTTCTAGGCTTGAGTAGTATTCTTAGCTTGAGTGGTTTCGTAATTTGAGTAGGTTTCCTATTTGAATGTATGTGTGTGTATGGAATTCTATTCGGTAATTATGCACTAGAACAAACAACAGGGTGTTAGGGTTCTCTCTATGAGTTTTCCAAGTGAGTTATCGTGAGATATTGTGATATAATACTTATAAGTTATAGGACTGAGAAGCACTTGAGCTATTCTAAACTTTGTATTATCTAGATTTATAGTGGATTTCTTAGTGGTGGACTCTCCTAGTGTAGTAGGTACCTACACTCAGACCGAATTACATAAATATCTAATGTCCTTATCCTACTTGTTGATTATTTTGGTAATTTCTTCTTCAAGTGTTAGACTTGAATTGCATAATTCGTTAGCTTCCGTGTTATTTCACAACACAAATCCTCATGCTTGCTTTTGGTAATGCTTATGCCACTTTAATAAACCAGGTTTCGGAGCAGGCCTAGGGGCACTATTCTTGCTTCTCTTGTTATGGCTGTTGTACAATTTCATGAAGAAAAGGAAAGAAATCAAGCTCAAAGAGAGGCACTTCAAAGAGAATGGGGGTCTCTTGTTGCAGCAACAACTGTGTTCATTCGAGACCAATGTTGACAAGAACAAATTGTTCAATTTTAAGGATTTGGAGAGGGCCACGGACAATTTCAACAAGAACAGAATACTTGGTCAAGGTGCGCAAGGAACCGTCTACAAGGGCATGCTTGCGGATGGAGGAATCGTTGCCATTAAGAAGTCAAAGGCAATAGATAAGGGAAGAGTTGAACAGTTCATTAACGAGATTGCCATTCTCTCGCAGATCAACCATAGGAACGTGGTTAAGCTACTTGGGTGTTGCTTGGAAACAGAGTCGCCGCTTTTGGTGTACGAATTCATACCGAATGGGACTCTCTTCCAGTATTTACGTGACTCTCTCGTATCATGGGACACACGCCTTCGAATTGCTACCGAAGTGGCGGGAGCCTTGTCCTATCTACATTCATCGGCATCAATCCCGATCTATCATCGGGACATCAAGTCTACTAATATTCTCCTGGACAACCAGTACCGCGCAAAAGTGGCCGACTTTGGCACTTCCAAATCGCTTTCGCTCTATCAAACTCACGTGACTACAGCAGTCCAAGGGACATTCGGGTACTTAGATCCCGAGTATTTTCAATCATGTCAGTTCACAGATAAGAGCGATGTGTACAGCTTCGGTGTGGTCCTCGTCGAACTCCTGACAGGGCGAAAGCCAGTCTCACTTCTTGGAGACGAGGATCAGAGGAACCTTGCAAGTTATTTCCTCCTATCAATGGACGACAACTGCCTGTTCGACATAGTGGACGATCAAGTTCTGAAGCAAGGCAAGGAAGAAGGGATCGTCGCCTTTGCGAACCTTGCAAGAGGGTGCCTGAACTTACATGGGAAGATGCGACCCACAATGAAAGAAGTGGCAAGCGAACTGGAGCGCATTAGAAAGCTGGAGAATCCTGCCATGAAACATGAACAAATTCAAAAGAAGAGGGAGAAGTATATACGTTGGGATTCTGCAGGGTCCGCAGACATAATCACGATGTCGGACTTGCACCCACTCATGTATAGTGACTCGAATAGTTCTATCTAGATTTTCTTAGATGAGTGATTACTTTAAGAAGAATATCAGGACTTTGTTGTGTGTATATGTCAAAAGACAGGAAATTATAATTCCGTATGTCACACTCTTTCTTGATGTAAAAAAAAAGCAGAAAGTCAATTGCCATGTATCTTAGAAGAAACTCAGCATTTTGTGAAATTTACCTCATTCATTGACACAATTTAACAATACATGGCAACAGCTACCACAGAGTTACTCGTACATGTTGCAGCAGAAGCATCAATGGCCAATAAGATAGGAATGATCACATAATAAGAGAAGCCATCCGTACAACACCTAGACGAAACTTAAGTGTGTTTCACTGGACATAACTGGGGCACGCGTGGGAAAATCGCACTACTTCAGAATCAACATCCGACATCGAATTATAAACTGAGCACGATATCTTTGAGTTAAATAATGGAATTTTTCGTGGTTTGAATTTCCCGGACACTGCTTGTCCCCAACATAAGTTCCCCTTAGATGTGCTCTCTTTGAGTTGTGTATTTCTTGTACTTACAAATTATTTGAGTAAGAACTCTTCTATTCGGGTGATTATATTTTCACATGTGCATTAAATCTATTCGCCGAAAAACATCAAAAACAGTAATTTTTTATAAAAAATTTCTACTTCATTATATTTTTTTCTTTCTTGATCTCAATGTTAAGATTCTATGTTTAGTTAATGATCACCTCCAGAACTACAAGTATGAAAGAGGGATCATGACCAATATCATGACCAATTGGGCCTCTCTTGCAGCCAAGGGCCACATCCACTCGCCTTCGATTCGCCGGGCATGCCATTGCTTGTTGAACGTTCTACAAGGCCCAAATGGCATTCTACTCCATTCCTAATTTTCGTTAAATGTACTTGACCTTCGCGATACCTTTCTATGTGGATTTTTCAGAATAGGTCATCTGCGAGATCCTTCTCCATTCCAATTCATACACTCTTAACTATTCGATGGCTAAAGTGTTTGTATGAACTTGGAAGTTCGGAACAATGACAGTAAGAACGAGAGGTTGATTAGCCAAGCGAACAATGTTTATTTCCTACGGACGTCATCACAGGAGTCACGCATCCATTATAGTATATTGAGTTAGAGTTAGAACTACTCAGCACCATTAAGACATTAGAGACAAGTTCATCAACATAACCCCATCGGCATGTCACCAGTTCATAATTGCGTCCACACAAGGTAGGAGTGCAATACAATCTTGTCGAAAGTTCGATCATGACTGCACAAGAACTTGTGATTTTATGGATAACTGTGACATCATGGATTAACTCATAGAGGTATTGTCCGCTTTAACCGATCTCATATCGAGCCTCACGATTTTGTTCTTTGGTGTATGGGTGCGCACCTTACCCATCCTAATAATGCTTCCACCTGAGCACGCTTAACTTTAGAGTTCAAAGCTAAGCATTGTTGTTGTATTAAAATGCTCACACACACTCCCCCTAGAATCGCTCTCCCCATGTTCAGTTCTTTCCTGCCTCATTCACCATCCTAAAAGTTTGCTAGGACCTGCTCCTTGTCTGGTCCCTCTTGCCCCAACGACCATTTCCCGCCCTTGTCGGACCAGGCCATTACAGGCCTACCAGTGTTTCCGTTTGGTTCGTCCCCAAACCACACACCTATAGAAGGGGGTCTCGCTCTAATAATATATTGTGACATCCTGAATTAACTCGCTGAGGTATCGTTTGCTTTGGCCCGTTCTATACCGAATCTCACGATTTTGTCCTTTGGCGTATGGATGGGCACCTTCCCAAGAGGTCACAAATCCTGATTGTGCTTCCACCTAAGCACGCTTAACTTTGGACACACGCACGCACGCACGCGCACGCACGCACACACATCCCAGAATTACTCTTCCCATATTCGGTGCATAGTTCGGTTCATTCATGCCCCCTTCGCCACCTAGAAGCATGCCTGGAGCCGCTCCTTGTCCAAGCCCTCTGGCCCCAACAACCACTCCATGCCCTCATCAGACCAGGTCATTACAATAATAGGCAAGCATAAACCACCATCGCAGCGAACCTCAATGGTGGCCCACCAACAAAATGCTTGTGGGCTAAGGAAAGTCATCTTCAGCACAATAAATAGCTAAGGAACGATCGTCTCTCTATTCTATCACTGTTGTAGAGGAAGTCAATGGCCCGTTCTAATATAAGTTCTCAGTTGATAACGGTCTTGAAGAGCCCAGGGGCCACTATCAACGAGTCATCCATTGGTCCGCACCATGCCGGTCTTCCCAAGTTTGTTTACGTGCAAATTGGTTTGCATTAATTGGGAATTCAATTAACCTTTTCCATAGGTTTTCGACAATATTCTTGCGTAAATCCAAGTCTACATGGAACCGTTCTGTTATAGTCACTAACCATGTGGGCCCCACCTATAAGTCGCACTCGATCACCGGCTATGATTGCATATTGGGTCCATGGAACACGATCCGGCGGAGAGTTTCTCCAGGCTTTTGTTTATGTGTGTGTTGGATATCGCGTGTCTGATTCACATATTACCAAGTACCGAGCATCAACAGCTTCATATTTGAGTCACCATCCAACTTTTGATTTGCCTTGGTAAAGGAATTTCTCATTATGTGGAGGGATGTACTCCAAAAAAACTTGGCATCTCTCTTTCCTGTTCTTAGCCCTCTCCGTTCCATTAATCTTGCCCAGGCCTGGTGATATACAAAGCTCTGATCTTCGAAACTCCAATGTGTTATTTAATGGAAATTATCATGTCAAAACAAGCTAGGGTCATCGTCTTCTTCTCCTCTATCATGATTTTCCTCTCAAATCATGAAGTCTCCTGTGCTTGTCTCCACTTAAACTCATCCCCCCTCTAGTCAAAGAAGCATCTTAATCAAAGACCTAATCCCCTAGCTAACGCCCCCAAAAGTATTTAATCCCACAAGTTTCTATTTTCTCTCTCCCCTAGTAGGACTTCAAAGTCTTGCAACCTAGAAGGAACAAACAAAAGCCCCAACTTAATCTCCTCTCTTTCCCCTAAAGAAGGATAAATATTTGAGACTAAACTGAGAGATTAGGTGATTAAAGCACAAGAGGGTCCACTATCGGGTGAATTAGCTCTGTTTGTCATGGGAATCGTTCTTCAGAGCGAAAGAAAACGAAAAGAAAGAAGGGAGGACACTTGTTCGTTTACTGCTAGGAGAACTTTGGTTAAGTTATTTATGGATTATGAACTTATTGTCGGTGTTTGGGATCAAAAAGCTGTCTAATCATACCCATTCCAGATATATTCAGGTCTTCTAACTAGCCAGGCATCACCATACAATTTATGCGCCAATTTGGAAATAACTTGGCAAATCGCACTCATCTACATCGAGAGCATGAAGATGATTTTACTTCATCTTGAGATCCATGAATACTTGCGGTCAATTTGATGAATGCAGAATTACATCAGTCCCACCCACGGGTAGTCCAGCGAACAAGCATCTTTGTTGCACCAGCCTTCACCATTCAATTAGCTTGTGACTTGCAGATGGCCAAACGATGTATCATGGGCTCCAGTCGCTCCAGTCAGTTTGGTCATATGTTGCATTTATGTTCATCATGTTGAAGGGTGTTTCAACGCGGAAAATATTAGCTTCTGCTAATATGGTTTGTGTATCCGTCATGCGATACGTCATCCTAATGCTGAGAATTCAAACTAGTGACAGACTAATAACAGTACAAAGATCATTAATAAGAAGCGACCAACTCTTTAATTTTCTTTTCTGCTGAACAATGACCGAGGCCCAAATCTTCTAGTAATGTGGAAATCTTATAAAATGACCAATCAAACTGACCATGTTAACTCTTGCCCGGCACGAAGAAGGCTCTTGGAAAAAGTGGGGAGAGAGACACCGACTTTCAAGTCTTTTATTGTAGTCCTCTTTGGAGAAGTCAATCTCCTCTTAATTGTGGACAAATGTCCCACTATTGGACTTTTCTTTTCTACCCTAAAAAAAATATTCAAACATTTTTTTAAATAACACAACCATCAACATTGCTATACTTAAGTAGCAAAAAGCTAAAGAATAACACTTTGTAGCCATATTTCCCCAAAATGAGTCAATTGAAAGTAATATATTATCCACATAGAACTTTTCTTTTCTCTTTTTTACTTTCTACGAACTCTGAAAGAATTTTTTTTAAAAATATTCTTAAGAAAAATGACATTCTTATTCTGAAGTAGGAAAAATATTACTAATATAACTTTCTAGGCTTCTAGCCACATTTTCACCAAAATGATTCAATTGAAAGTAATTACATATACTACGACAAAAGGACATGGCACAAAGTTCAAAGGGAAATGAGAGCAGGACGGGAAGTAACGGTCGTGTGTACGCCACATATTTTCCCAAGGAACATTACCCGGTTCCTTGGGAAAATCATAAATCCCACTTGGTGGATTTGCTAGCCCAACCGAGTGGGATTTCTCCTAGTAGACAAAAAAAATCAGCCAAAATAGCAATAAGGGAATAGAAAAGGAACTTATTAACAGTATCAGTGTTAGATATTTTTACATTAAGTGCCAAAAAAATTATCTAAACATCTTTATATCAAGAGAAAATAAATGTAGGATTACTATTAATAGCAGCATCGTTGCAAAACATTTTAAATTTGTAGTTTTTTAATCAACAACTTGTCTGTTTCACTGAGAAAATAGAAAAAAAAAAATTAGCAGCCCCAAATTGAAAGAGCCAGGGTTAGTGAACTGAGTTCTTTTTACCCAAAAGTTAGCGTTCCAAATCGATGATTTGAGTAAATTCATCGCAATTAAAAACTTAACCGTGAGTTATTTTATCACTTAAGTAAAAGTTCATGCATTTTTTTTCATTTGAAAAGAGAGGATAGTTATGTCCAGTGTGTAATCCATGCAATTTTTTTTGGGTATTTGGTTGAAAGTATTCTAAGGGAAAACATTTTTAATGCCATTAAAAGGAACTACAAAAAAAAATTCTAAGCTCAATATTTCAGGATCTTGTCATTTCATAATAAAATAATAATACCCCATGAATTTGCTTTTCAATATCTCTCAAAATCTCTTTGACTTTCCCAAGTTCCGATTGCCAAATCCTCATAAAATGGGATTCTGTGGTCATTGTAGCACCGTTATTTGTGGTAAATAACGGTACCGTCATATTAGCAGGACCCAAGTTCAAATTAAAACATAAGAATTATAAGGAAACTATGTCTAACTAACAAAATTAAAAGCTATTAACAAATTATAAACACACAATTCTAAGAAACTAAACTCTAGCACTAAACGAGTTTAATTATATTAATTTCTTAAATAACTCAAGCAATGCTAAACTGAGATTAATATTCAGAATTTAAAGGAAGGCAATACATATGTTAAATCAGAAATTGTAAGTGACCGAGCCAATCAATACCAAGCCATAAGAGTGCCAATGAAATGTGACATTTTGTGGCAATTAGCAAAGACCTAGAAAAATATATAATCTAATTTGGAAAAGGAAGAATTCAAACGATTTTGGTCTAGGAAAATTTAAGAGATCTGGCGTGTATAAGGAACAATTTAAGTTGGTAAGGAAAAGAATAAATATCTCAATTCTAATGCAATTTACGGGGTCTACGGTAAAAGATCTTGAAAAATCATTGATCTTGGTAATGCTCCGAGCCTTTCTCACAAGAAAGATGACGACAAAATCATGTGCCTAACAATGGGAAAAGTCACACTTGGCTGCTGAAATTCCTTTACCTATCAAGCTTTGATATTTCCATTCCGAAGGAAGTATCCTCGGAGATACGAGGAAGCAACGGAGCTGGAACAATGTTTTGCCTACAGTATATGAAAATTCTTCACTTCTTCCATTTAAAAAACAATATTAAGGGACTCAGCCCATATGACCTTTCTTCATAGGTTTAGGTCCATGCACATCCCGGAGGTGAAAGTCATGTCGAACTCGGTGTTTCAATTTCTTTTTTTTCTGGTTTCCCTCACGGTACAAGCATCAGTAGCTGCACCTAGTCTTGCAAAGCTTAACTGCACTGAAACATGTGGGAACGTCACCATTCCCTTCCCCTTCGGCATGGGAGCCGGGTGTTTCTTGGATGACTGGTACCAGATCATCTGCCTACAAAACAACATGGTTCCCATTCTAAAGAAGATTAGATTGCGTGTTCTCCACATTTCACTCCCCGATGGCCTGATTAGTGCCCGTCTTCCTTTAATTTACTCAAATGCAAGCTGTAGGGGCGGCGGACTTGGTGAGTCGGTGAGCTTTGAAGGAGGTCCATTTGTCTTCTCCCAGAGATGGAATGTCTTTATATCGGTCGGTTGCAACACCCTAGCAACAGTGAATACAACAGATTCAGCTGTTGTTGGTTGCAGGTCTAAATGTGCTGGAACCAGCACTAACATTAGCCAGTATCATGGTGCTTGTTCCGGGAGGGACAGATGCTGCCAGACTATGCTTCCCTTTAACCTTCAGGGCTTTAGTGTGGATTTCAAAGAAGAAGGTGAATATCAGGGGTGCAATTACGCTTTCCTGGCAGGCATCGGGTTCTTGAGGTCTGACTCTACAGGTTTATATGATTTTAGATTGGACGATACTGTTCCAGTGGTGTTGGAATGGGGGATTGCAAGCAATACCAACTTTGCACTTGACCTTACCCGGCAAGCTTACAAAGAAAAAGACAGGTCCAACTATTATGATTCTTTCACCTGTGACAGATACAGCCTCTATGCCAATGTAGATGAAATCCCAATTATGCAGTGCTTTTGCGGGAGTGGGTATCACGGTAACCCCTATCTTATTGAAGGATGCAAAGGTAAATAGTTCATGCTATTACATTCAGTATTTAAGGGCACGATACGGCAAAGTGGCTTGTTCATTCCCCCAGGTCTTTCTCTGAAAAGAAGTCACCACAATGTTTAATGATCACATACATGCTTTCCTGCCTTCTTTTCTTGTTTTTCCGCCCAAGATTATACAAAGTGAATTCACACAAAATTGAATGAATTATATTGATAACAATTTTCTGGATATAAAAGGGAACAGGACAGTGCATAATATTTTAGCCATGGAATTAACAACCTATGTGCGAACAAGCATCCTTGTTGCACCAGCCTTCACCATTCAATTAGCTTGTTACTTGCAAATGCTCAAAAGATGTATCAGTTTGGTCATGTGTTGCACTGTGTTCATCGTGGTAAAAGCGATTTCAGCACATTGAAGGAAAAAATTACTTTCCACTCATATGATTTGTGTTTAAGATCATTGTTGTCATGCAATACGTCTTCCTTGTATTACTCCATCTATTTGTTTATATGATTGCTCTGTGGTGATGGTTAAGAATTCAAACCAGCGATAGAGTAATAGCAGAATAAAGATAATTAATAAGAAACAACCGGTCTTTAGTTTTCTTTAGTTTTCCCTCTGGGTAAAAGACCAAATCTAATAATTGATATGTATAGTGGTGCTCTTTGGAGAAATCAATGAGGTCTTCTTCATTGTTGACCCATGTCCCACTATTGAAACTATAGATTCAAACAGTTTTTCTTCTTTAAATAACATTAGAACCTTCAAGATTGCTATACTTAAGTAGGAAAAGGGTAAATAATATCACTTTCTAGCCATATTTTTACCAAAATGATTCAATTGAGAGTAATTACATATATTAAGACAAAAGGACATGGCACAAACTTCATACTAAATCATTAGAATCATAACTAAACTACATCATGTTAAGAAACAATGCTAAGAAATAAAATCTGGCACTGAACAAGGTTAACTAAAATTAATTTCTTGATGAATAACCTAAACAATGTTAAAGTAAGATTAATATTCAGAATTTAGAAAAAGACCAAATTCATGTTATATTTGAAATTGTATGTGACCGAGCTAATGGATACTAAAAAGGAAAAAAAATGATTGGTAATGAAATGTGAAATTTTATGGCAATAGTCAAAGGGATGGAACATTTATTTAATCTTAGGTGGAAGAGGAAGTATTAATACTATTTTGGTCTAGGAAAAAACAAACGATCTGATGCGTATAAAGAACAATTTAAGTCGGTAAGGAAAGGAATAAATATCTAAATTCTAATTCGATTAACGGGGGTCCACGATAAAAAGTCTTGAAAGGTGATCCATCTTACAAACACACTATTTTCTTCTTCTTTTTTTCCTGCCTCAATATTATACATAGTGAATGCATCCTCAATTTACTCATGGAGATGGATGCACCACTAATACCTTTTTGTTTTTCATCTTTTTTCTACAGATATTAACGAATGTGGAGATTCAAATCTAACTCGTTGCCCCGACAGTTGTGTGAACCAACCGGGCAGCTATGAGTGCGTCAGTGATGGTAGAAGGACCGATGTTAAGGAAAGAGCTACATCTTTTCTTATCTGTATGTAATCTTCTAATCTATATTTATAGACCTCCTCATGCGCTTATTGTTTTCAAACATGATATACCACAGCTTAAATTATATTCATATGAGACACAGAAAGAAGTTTAGCTTACCCTTCATTCTAACATTAGCATCTGTTCACTTGTGACGATTCCAGCCACCATGTCACGTTCTATGACCCCTTTCCTCTTGCAACAGCACAAGAAACTTTCTTTGCGTGCGATACATATGTATACTGCATGAGAAGATAGTAGATTTGTTGCTGGTTGAAATCTATCAAACCAAATGCAAAGTTCTTTCCCTTTTTTGGTCCATTTTTCCACGTAGTACTTAATATTAAGAATGTCAAAAACCTTGCCAGCTTGATCAATTGAACATTGATTAGAGTGGTCCACTAAATTCGTCGCAAGGAAGATCAGTTATGCAGCATGGATGTGCTGATAAAAATCACACCAAATGAAATTCCAGCAGAAGAAACAACTTAATTAGTTTCATTTCAGCTGTTCTGATGAATTCATGGGGAAGTAATCTAAATAGTATCCCTAAATGTTTTCCTTCTGATCAAATTCATGAAACATCAGTGATGACAACGATGAATAGATTCTTAACAAGTAGGAAAGATTTTCTGACCTTATCTCCTACAAATTTTTTCCCCTGCAGACATTGGAGCGGGCCTTGGAGCACTAGGAAATTTGTTGCTTTTCTCTTGGTGGTTGTACAGAGTCATCAAAAAGAGAAGAGAAGCTAAGCTCAAGGAAAAGTACTTTAAACGAAACGGTGGTCTTTTGTTGCAACAACAGCTGTCTTCACCCGAAGGCAATGTTGAGAAGAGCAAATTATTCAATTCCAAGGATTTGGAGAAGGCCACTGATCATTTCAACAAGGATAGGATACTGGGGCAAGGTGGACAGGGTACTGTTTATAAGGGAATGTTAACAGACGGAAAAATAGTAGCTATTAAGAAATCAGAAGTGGTAGACGAGGGAAAAGTCGAACAATTCATCAATGAGGTCCTCATTCTCTCACAAATCAATCATAGGAATATTGTTAAACTATTGGGGTGCTGCTTGGAGACAGAAGTTCCTCTTTTAGTATATGAATTCATACCAAATGGGACGCTGTACCAATGTCTACATGACCCAAATGAGGAGTTTCAAGTGCCATGGGACACCCGCCTACGAGTTGCAACCGAAATCGCTGGAGCCTTATCGTACTTGCATTCAGCAGCTTCTATTCCTATTTATCATCGAGATATCAAGTCCACCAATATCCTGTTAGATGAGAAATATCAGGCAAAAGTGGCAGACTTCGGCACTTCCAAGTCTGTTTCTCTCGATCAAACTCACGTAACCACATTGGTGCGGGGGACTTTTGGATACTTGGATCCAGAGTACTTCCAAACAAGTCAATTTACAGACAGAAGCGATGTGTACAGCTTTGCGGTGGTCCTTGTCGAACTCTTAACGGGACGAAAGCCAATCTCTCCATTGAGTGAAGAAGAAGGGAGAAACCTCGTGGCGTACTTTATAATTTCTATGGAGGAGGATTCTGTGTTCGATATGGTTGATGCTCAAGTTTTGAAGGAGGGTAAGGAAGAAGAGATTACAGCAGTTGCTAACCTCGCAAGAAGGTGCTTAAACTCCATTGGGAGGAACCGGCCGATGATGAAAGAAGTGGCAATGGAATTGGAGAGAATAAGGAGGCTCCGAAATCCTTTGGATTTCCAACAAAACCGAAGTCCTTCGGATTTCCAACAAGATCAAGAAACAGTCGAGGCCACTGAATCTCATGATGCTAGTTTCACATCTAGCAAGTCTTATTATGTGGACTTGGATGTAACAGCATTTTCGGATGTGCAGCCATTCGCACATTGTGAAACATGGTGAAGTCAGCTCTTTCTGGCATTATCTCCCGCAAGAATGTCTGTCTATACATGCAGAGACAAGCGGCATCGAAATTGATCTTTGTCCGTTCATGTATCATGATAGGGATTATTGTGTCTTGAGGATCCATGAATACTTTATTGTAAGGATTACATTAGAGTTGCACTTGTACTCTTGGGAACAAGCGTCCTACTTGTATCAACCTTTCGCCTGTTCGATTAGCTGGTTATTTATCAGTGTTGAAAAGAGCTGTGATTCGATTTCAGTTCCAGGAACATGATAGTGTCAATTTTATTAAAGTAATCCATCTCAAACACGAACAGGTGCTTGATCAAACAATACATCTAAGCGTACAGTGCATGAAAATTCTTCCCTTTTCCACTTAAATAACAATAATTAAGGGACTCGTCCCATATCCCTTTCTCCATATGTTAGGGTCCATGCACATACCAAACGTGAAAATCACACACGATACCCCATTGATAATGTTCTTTCTTGTGGGGAAGACTACTCATGATCCCAATGGACAATACATTCTTTGAATACTAAATTAGACCTAATATAAATTTTTCGGATGATTTTGTCATTCAAATTGAGATTCTTGCTGTGGCAAATTGTTTTCTTTTCCCAAAAGGACAAAAGAAAGTTAGGATAATGAGGGTCATCAAAAGTTAGTTCATTGTTGATATTGATTTAATAATGCTCCAAATCTTTCTCATAAGAAACTGATGATAAAATTATGTCCCCAGCAATGGGATCAGTCATACTTAGCTGCTTAAACCGGTGTCCTGTACATAACAAGCTTTTACATTTCTGTCCTCAAGGAAGCGTCCTCAGAGCTGGAATAAGATTATGCTTCCAGTACTTCAAAATTCTTCCCTTCTTCCACTTGAATAAGGACTCATCCCATATCCCCTTTCGCCATAGGTTTAGGTCCATGCACATACCAAACGCAAAAATCTTGTCGAACTCGGTTTTTCAAATTCTTTTGCTTCTGGCTTGCTCAAAGTACAAGCAGCAGGAGCTGCACCTGGATTCCAAGCCCAAATGAGCTAAAAATTGCGGGAACGTCAACATTCCCAACCCTTTAGGGATAGGAGCCGAGTGTTAGTTGGACGACTAGTATGAGATCGACTGCAAGCAAAACAACACGGTTCCCAGACTAAATAAGATTGGATTGCGAGTTCTCAACATTTCACTCCCCTCTAACAGGAGATACACGTGTCTGATTTTGCGAGACCACTGCCAACTGTTTTAAATACTTAAACTGTTAGAGGAAGATGCGGTTTAATATTTAAATATTCCATTAAGGATGTCCTGAGTTCGAATCTTTCCAGGCCCCTATTTGCCTCCCCAATGAAATATTTCCACACTTAGTACTAAGCAAAAAAAGACCAGAACAACAGGTGAAAGTGAATACTACAGATTCAACTGTTGTCGGTTGCAAGTCGAAATGTGCTGGAACCACCACCGACATTAGTTAGTATCATAGTGCTTGTTCTGGGAGGGACAAACGCTGCCAGAGTACGCTCCCCTTAACCTTCATGGCTTTAGTTTGGACTTCAAAGAAGAAGGCGGACATCAGTAGTGCAATTAGACTTACGAAAGAGAACGTCGGACAGTCCTCTCGTTAAAAGCATAATATTTTAGCCATGGAATTAACAATTATAAGGAAATGCGACCTACTAGTCTTGCTGATTTTACTCAAGGAGATGGTTTCGCTGTTAATGTATTTATTTTTTCTTTGTCATCAGATATTAACGAATGTGAAGATTCAAAAATGCAACAGGACTTGTGTAAACACACAGGGCACCTATGAATGCATCGATGGTAGAAAGACAGCTGAATTCATTTTTATTAATAAGTAGATCTTTTAACCTAGAACTTTAGACCGCTTCATGCTCTTGAGTAATGTTAGAAACAGAACAGCATTGCATAGATTATGTACAGAAAAGGTACAGAAATAAGTTTTACATTCCCCCGGTGATGATTATAGATAAGTTTCAACAAATAGAATCTATCAAAAGATATGCAAGGTTCGTACTTATACTAGTCATATTTGAATTGGAATTATGACAATCATAAGTTTCATCAATGGTTTACTAAATTCCTTGTAAGGGAGATCCAATGTGCGGTACAGATGTATGTATAAGAATTTCATCGGATGGAACTTAAACAGGAGAAAATTTAATTTTTCATGGTTGTTAAGATAAATCTACATGAAAGGAGGGTCATCATTCTTATATGTTTTCCTTTTACTCAGATTCGATTAAATTCTTGATGATAAGTGCCTTTATAGATTCTTGACCACCACTGTGCATTGTCCTCACTTTTGGCCCTTCAATCTTTGCAGTGTAGTGGTTGAGGCAATACTTGGCACACTACTTTTGTTTCTTTTCTTATGGAGGTTGTACAAATACATCAAGAAGAGAAAAGAATTGAAGCTCCAAGAGAAGTACCTCATCGCAACGGCGGTTTTTTGTTGGAAAGTGAGGTATCTTCTCCAGATGGCAATGTCGTGAAAAGCAAATTGTTCTACTCCAAGAATTTAGAGAAGGCCACTGACAATTTCAACTCCTGCGAACAAGAACCTTCGTTGCATTAGCCTTCACCATTCAATTAGCTTGTGACTTGCAGATGCTCAAAAGATGTATGATGGGCTCAAGTGGTTTCGTCATATGTTGCATTTGTGCTCATCATGCTAAAGTGATTTCAACATGTTTAAGAAAAAAAATTTATTTTCCGCTAATATGATTTGTCTATATGATCATCTATGTCATACGATACGTTTTCCTAGTACTACTCAACCACCTATTTTGTACATGTGATGGCTTTGTGGCGCTGATTGAGAATTCAATCTAAGTCTTTAATTTTCTTTTCTACCATGCAATAACTGAGTCCTAAATATGCTATTGGTGTGGAAATCTTCTAAGATGACCAATCAAACTGACCATGTTAAATCTTGGCCAGCACAAAAAAGGCTCTTGGAAAGAGGGGGAAGAAACGACATCTTCCAATTTTATTTTTTTTGGTGTGTATATATATGTGTGCACGCGCGCGCGTGAATATCATTAATATAATGAGGTACAAAGGCTTAGGGAAAACCCTTAGCATTTCAAAAGAGACTAATTATGCGAGAAGATGGAGGAAGGAGACCTCCATACAGTAGCCAATAAAACATTTACCTGGGAAGACCTACACTGTTCGTACGTAGAGTGACGCCCTATCTCTTGCAACCTTTTGAATCCCAGCCAACAGAAGATGAGCTTCAATCAACTTGTTTTGAAACCGTCTGCGGTTGCATTCCATCCATATGCACTAGATAGTCGCTAAGAAAAACAGCTTGAGGAGTCTCGCCTCCAAGTTTTAGCCCTTGATAGCCCCGATCATCCATTGAAGTTCTAGATTCCAACCTCCTGTAGAACAACAAATTCCATTTTGTGCCAGAATACTACGCCATACACTACCTGTCCAAGTGCACTAGTACTCTGGAGAAGTCAACGAGGACTTGACAAGGGTTCCTCTTCATTCTGGACACATGTCCCACTATTGAACTTTTCTTCTCTTTTTTATTTTCCACAAACTCTAAAAAAATAAATTCGAACCATTTTTTTCAAAGAACATTAGAATTTTCAACATTGCTATACTTAAGTAGGAAGAAGATAAATAATAACGTTTATTTTTACCAAAATGATTCAATTGAAAGTAATTAGATATACTAAGACATATGTCCTCCATATCAAAATTTTCTTCTCTTTTTAGTTTCTACAAACTCTTAAAAAAAGCATATTCAAAGAATTTTTAAAAGAAAAATAACATTAGAAAGGTTCATCATTGCTTTTATCAAGAAGGAAAAAAGATTAATAATAAAACTTTCTAGGCTTATAGCCACATTTTCACCAAATCATTCAAATTCTGCACGAGGAAGCATCCTTTGATATGCTAGGTTCGACTATCTTCAATTTGTATCGTGATCAGGTCCGGTATATTCTTCCCAAGTGAAACTTCATATTTGTCTGGCTCTTCTCCCCTAATGTTTCAACAGCAAAATTCGAGCATGCAAAAGCAAAATGTTTCAAGAGACCTCTTTTAACCTCCATAAATTTTCTGACCAAAAAAAAACGTTTATAAATTTACAGAGTGAACAGCCAAGTGTTTGATGATGCATCTCGGCTCAAATTTCATTTTTCTTTCATGGCATTGGCATTGATGAGGCTGGAGTTTGAGGTTACACGTTTTGGAGACACTGAAAAATCCAACTTTTTAGAGGGAAAATCAAAGAAACATAAGAGAAGCACTAGAAGTCAAGGATATATATCACTCGAACAAAATATGAGTCGATGAGACAAAAAACTCGTTATAGGTATAATCACACAAAATGTTCACTTCAAATTATGGGCAAGTGCATGACCGAAGCTTCCATGAGAGCGGGTCACAGGAAGATAGAAGAAACCATAAAACAAAGTCATCAGGAAAATTACCAAAAAAGTCCTAAACCTTTTCTAATTGTGTCAATTCAGTCTTAAACCTTTTTTTTTTGCCCATTCAGTCCAAAACCTTTTGCAATTGTACCAATTCAGTCCATCTGGCCACTTTTGGCCGGTTGGCGCTGACGTGGACGCCGGCCGATTGACGTGGCAATTTTTAATAATTTTTTATTATTATTTTTCGAAATTGTTTTTATTTTTTTTCTTTCTTTTTTTTTTCGCCTATCTTCTTCCCCGGTCGCCGGTCCAGCGACCGGCGAGAGGCTGAGGCCAGCGAGGTCCACCTCGCCGGCCATGGGCGAGGCTACCCCTCGCCGGCACTGGCGAGGGCCAGCCTCGCCGTCGCCGGGCAAGGTTGACCTCGCCATGGCCAGGGCGAGCTCAACCTCGCCCGGCGACGGCGAGGTCAACCTAGCCGTCGCCGGGTGAGGTCGAGCCTCGCCATGGCCGGGCGAGGTCGAGCTTGCCAGGCAACGGCGAGGTCGACCTCGCCGTCGCCGAGTGAGGTCAAGCCTCGCCATGGCCGGGCGA